AGCCTGGCCAGACCCCTCTGTGGATCCTCTGATCCTCCAGAGCTCCCCACTCCCAGCAGGACCCAGGAGGCCTTTTACAGTCAGCCAGGAGGATAATGTAGGACAGGACACAGGTACAACCCTCCCCCATGCTGAGGCCTCTCCAGGGAATCCCAGAGCTTTCAATTCAACATCTCAGATTCAAATCCTGAGTCCTATGACAAGCTCCTGGGCTACCAAACTCCCCCTGAGGGCAAGTCCACAGGAAGAGATGAAGGGCAAGTTTTAACTCTCCTTCTCCCTTTTGCTCTCAGCTTGAAAAACTTGGAACCTCCTCCCTGGGACAAAAAGCATTTGGGGATTGCAGCCTTGCTAACGACAGGGATCCACCCCTTTCCCTGCCCTTCCTCCTGACCACTCCCACCACATCCCACCCCCCCTGGGGAGGACCCTGAGGTGGGATTCAGCCCCTGCTGCTCTCCCTGCCCACCTCAGCACGTCCAGCAGGCGCCGGGCGATGCCCTTCCCACGCCAGGGGCTCAGCACCCAGATCCTGCTGACCCCACAGACGGCTGGCTCGGGGTGTGGGGAGCAGTGCCAGGCCCTCTGCTGCTCCTGCTGCTGCTCCTCCTCTTCCTCCTCCTCTTCCTCTTGCTTCTGCTCCTGCCCAGCCCGGGCTGGTCCAGCTTCTGGTTCTGACAGCACCCGGCAGGCCTGGGGAAGGGGAGAGGGGTCACCCCACTGCCTGAGCCCCCCACGCCAGCCCAGCAGCCCCAGGGCTCTCAGTCTGGCCTGGCACAGAGATGCTCCAGCCCCTCAGCAGCTTCCCAGCCTCTGCTGGACTCTCTCCAGTAGCTCCTGGTCTCTCTGGAACTGGGGAGAGCAGAACTGGACCCAATACTCCACATCTAGGCCTCCCTAGGGCAGAGGAGAGGGGCAGGAGAACCTCCCTGACCTGCTGGCCACACTCTTCTTCATGCACCTCAGGAGACCATTGGCCACCTTGGCCATGAGGTTCACATTGGTGGCTCCTGGTGAGCTTGTCCCCCAGCACTCCCAGCTCCTTCTCCATGGAGCTGCTGCCCAGCAGGTCCCCCCTCCCCTGTCCTGCTCCACGAGGTTCTTCCTCCCTAGGAGCAAAACCTGTCCCTTGCCTTCAACTTCATGAAGTTCCTCTCCATCCCATCCTTTGGTGGGTCTTCAGTCCCTTGGGTTGTCTCATTTCCTCAGCTTTACTCCCCCCAGGCTGTGCTGAGCTGGGATTTCCAGCACACAGACCCCTTCTTACCCTGGAACCTCCCCCTAATCCCTCCCCCCTAGGGACACCAGGTACCTGCTTGATGGATTCAGCCACCAAGCACCCAACGATCATCTTCTCGTTGGCCACGAACAGGTAGATCTTGCTCTGGGCTGGGCAGCTCAGGGACACCTGCTTGAAGCCCAGCTCCTTATCCACCAGTTCTCTCACATCTTCTGCCTGAGGAAACGAAACCCAAGAGGTGTGTGAGGATCTCAGGTTCCAACCTCCCCAGCTCCCTCAGCTGCTCCTCCCCACACTTGGGCTCTAGACCCTTCCCCAGCAGCTCCGTTGCCCTTCTCTGGCCACGCTCCAGCCCCTCACGGTCCTTTTTGGGGT